AAGTGGGTACCGTCAAAGGGAATGTAGTAGCCTTCGACAAGATCTTTTATTGATGGTTGAGTCAAAAGTGGCTAATAGAATACTGATCTGCCACACAAAAATGCGCTGAAGTCCCTTCGATCTCACACGAGTACTTTGATAATTTTTTTACTTATTGTTTGCTCTTATTTTTCGTTAGTCCTTCCGCACTATAATTTTCTCTACGCCCTGCAGTCCTTCCGGGAAAAATGACGTGTTTATTGTAGAACATTCCGAAACGTTCTAAAACAATTGTCGTTTACTATACAAGCAAATCGTAGCGTATTTCAATCAGTCCCGTCGACGCGTTTGACTTATGTTATAAATAATAATTACTGTTATAAATTAACCTATTTTAAGATTGTTATAAATCTATTTTGCTAATTATTTGTAAATAAATAAACGACGTAATTAAATTTACGTTATATTATATTGCTTCCGTTCATAGAGACAACTATAGACATTTGGAGTTTAAAAAAGGTACTTATTCTGTATTGTATAGCATTTGTAGCGTTTGGCAACTGAACTAACACAAAAGTCACCATGCACGGGCGAGAAATAACTTACATTCCTACACATTAAAAAGCATGTAGTTGTACTAATCTATTCCGGAAAATGTAAGGTAATATGTTCAGTTTGCATGCACAACGTTGTGCAATTAATCTTGAGTGAGCGTCAGAGCAATTATGCATTTTTGGAACGCAGTTTTCAAAGCAACTTTTAATTAAAAGTCGTATAGTAAAACGTAATTGAAAATATGACAAAATTATTATGTATAGAAGGTGTAACATGGGACAAAATCTATTATAGGTAATGTAATTATTCGTTATAACGTTTTCAAGTTATGCTTCGCTTGATTATATTCTATTCGTGTCATAGAAACTCAGCGCAATGTCATAACATGTACCTACCTATTCACAAATGCCGAACGTTTATGTAGAAACACTGTACACAGACGCTAGGTATTTCCTACAGATTTAATTACTAATATAGAAAGCTCAAATGACTGCCTTCCTAATTTAGGAACCTACTTAAATAATGTAGACTGATAGTCATAGAGCTTTTGATTGTAAATAGGAATAATAAAGTTAGAAAGTACATGTAAGGAAGTTTACAGCGTTTTATGGCAAGCATAATTGACGGGTGGCGTATCTACTTACCGCCATTTTGGGTTAACAACAAACCTATGCAAATTTTACCTTTACCATTAAGAGATTTAAATTTGTTCAGTTGAGAAGCTCTTTCAGATGTAAACCCTGTAACTATTTAATCAAATCCTAGTTTTCTCAAATACCTTCTCTAAATCCAGAGAATATATTACCATACATAACTTGTCCAACAAAGTGAGCCAGCAGTAAGTCTTAAGTATTCCTAGGAAAGTGCTTTGCCCTTTGGGTCGCGTTCGGTTTTTATGTAGGTATGTAGCAATAATTTCGAAAGTACGCGTACAATTAGCACTGGTGACAGTTTATTTACAGAAACGGATTTCGTACATCGGCAGTCGTCGTCCTTACTAAGGGGTTGGTTAGTGCAGAGGGTACGATACAAACTGGATTAAAGCTTCCTTTGGAGGAATGGTTGTGAGATTACCCACGGTTAAACGAAAATATCCAAAAAAATAATTAAGAAACAAAAAGAGATTAGTGGTAACAAGCGATATTGTAATTGAGTAAAGTGAATATTGCAATGTTGACCAAAATAAACAAATGCTGTGCATACAACTCTTCCTCAATTTAACCGTTGAGGGAAGGATTATCGTGGAGCTCACTCAACGATTTAACCTACGCGGCTGTAAGTCCATTATTCAACACAACGATCTCCAAATAAAATAGGGGAGCGTGCTGCAAAGTGTAAGATGGTGTATCGAAACCTTTATAGAAATTAGGAAAAGGACAAAGAAGACCAATTTTAAAATCTGAAATTCAAGCCCACGAAATACGAAGGAAATTTTCTTTGAAAGAAAAAGAAAAGCATATCTTAACAGTTGTGGCCGCTTTGGCACAATTTGACTTTACATTTGCGTAATATGTAGATTGTTAGGCTCACGAGAACAGTACAAAACAAAGGGCTGTTTATTAAGCAGAAACAGGATTCCTCATAACAGATGATGAAAGGAAGGAAACGTCTTAGTGTAGGCACAGAAAGAATCATCGGTAGTTCTCTGCTAATGCAGATCACTGGTGACTCTTCTCCACGACTCTCTATGCCCTGCTCTTTTCTTTACTCCTTCATATCTTTCTTTTCTCTCCTTCAGGTCTTCAAGCAATTCCCTTCTTCGTCCTCTCTTCTTTTCTCTCTGAACAGTAACAGTTCCCTCGACTACTTCCTTCCACAAATAGATCCTTCTTAATCCATGGCCAATCCAGTATCATACCGATTTAAGCCAAACGACCGTTTTTGTTTTCTCTGCATTCATGACTAAATACTTTTTTTGCGCGATCGATCATTTCTGACTATTTACCATGGGTGTTTCCATGACAGTACGTAGAATTTACCAGTTGCTATGATTACGACGACGTCAAAATTACTTACCGATCTAAAAACAGAACAGCAAAAATACTTACCGACGCCTTTTTAAAAATCAACAGTCTTACATTACATTTAATCTTTAATTATTGTTAGGTACATTAAACGTGCAATTTGTGCTGTTGTTTCCTATAGCAAGACGCTCATAAAGTCATAAAGGAAGTGCAAAGCTAGTAAACTACATCAGACACATGCACAGTTTTATGAAATTATTAATTTCAATTTTGACAAATAAACTGGTTACCTAGTGATGTACACCATACCACTTCGATCATTTCGGTTTATTCTGTTCGTTAATTTCTTAGTGCATATTTATATTGGTTGCATAATTTTAATTTCGATCGCGCAAAAAATGTTATAAGCACGTCGAACGTTAAGGGTTACCGTTCTCAGACAATAATTGGAGTCGTCGCTTCGCTCCTCCTCCAAACAATTGTCTTCGAACGGTAAAAATCCCTTACCGTTCTCCATACTTAATATACTATTATTACACCAGGTATTAAATAAGCGATATACTGGTGTTTGCCTCATTTTGCCCATAGTCGTAATTTTATTTATAACTTCTACTTACCAGAAGTGGCAAACTTCATTACAGTTAGAAATATGGGCTAAATTGTAATTAATCATAATTAACTACAATGCATAATTTCGACGTTAAACTTAATTAAGTCTAGTCGTCGAACCATGCTCCCATTTTTCCACCATTTCGAGGCAATTAAACCACTACGTTTCGCGATTTATAAACAAAAAGCGATATTAAATTACGTATAAAATTATATTCTTCATTATAAATGAGAAGATTACCTTTGCAGTATTCCTATAATGGGTTTAAACTGAATATAATTAACAAATGTCTGATTACATTTCACTTCTACGATTCAATTTCATCCATTGAATACATATTTAGTAACTCTTGCTGAACCATCAAATTGCACTCTTTTACTAAGTAAGTTGCTCGTGTAAGTTGCACATTTTCAAGGGTTTACCTACCCGAACGCTTTCTTTACAAGTTCAAAGAATATCTATACCTTTCGAGCTCATTAAGCGATTGGGAACACTCTACGTAAGTTTTTATTTCTGTTAATGTTTCTGTTGCACAACCAATTAATGTGTAGTTAGTAACGCCCTACAATTATTACTATATAGGTATAGCCCCAAACAACCACTGCCCAAGCGTGTGCTTCACCTCGAACTCTTTCGACAGAAGTTCACCAGTTTCTGAGATCTCGGAAAACACATTAGGATGCAGTTACCAATTTACAGCGTTCCGCATTTTAGAACAATAAAAATATTATCAATTTTTGTAAATGAAATGAAAATATACAGGGTGTTTTTTTAAAGATGGGGCATAGAAAGTACACACCCAGCATAACGCAATGTAAAGGTGTTGGGTTATTTAAAATGGGCGACAGGGAAATTTACATTGCGCAAATTGTTCTCAATTCTTGGCCTTGCGCTTAGTTATTTCACGGACAGTTCTCGATCTCAATCCTTCAAACTGCATCAACGGAGCCTTTACATTGTCGGATGGCCCATCTTAAAAAAACACCCTGTATGTACAATTGTAAGCTGCCTAAGTATCTTTCTTCGGTATTAAAACCACCAAGGCGAAACACAGAAAAGGGGAAAAATGCCATTCTTCAAGAGAAACAAGACGCCATTAAAACTTTTATCGGCCTTACGATTGACTTTCGGACAACGTTGCCAAACTTCTCAGTATGGCTTGCAATTATAGACGGCTGTGCTAAATGTCTATAATCGACTCCTGTCATCACTGGCAGATTGATATTAATCTACTATATGAAAATTGAAACGTTACATAGGTATCTATTTTTTTATGGTCTTTATTTTATAGTGGGCGGGGTGTTAGCAATTTGCTACTCTTCCCACTCAACCCACTATACAATCACAAACAGCCATGCCTTACCTGGGACCCAGGACCCTTGTATAGTCAAAGTTAGAGCTATATTAAAATACAATTTCTGGTAAAATTTAATACAAAACTCGTCAGTAATAAGACACTACTACTTGACTGGAAACTTTTATATAAATATCTATTAATGCGTTTGCCCACTGTTATTGTTATTGCTACATATAACATTCTTAGGAGGGATTGTAGCGAGCGCCCTTGGATCCTCTTCTGGTATCCTTTGCTTGCATGTCTTATTACCTACAGTATATTTTCAATCATTACAGTTGTAAACGAATTACCGGATATTCTAATAGCTAACGTTATATTTGTTTCTCACGGCGCGGCGTACTTGGGGAGGTTTATGCCCGAAAACTTTAGTGACATGCTGGATTGTTTTATCTCCTTTGTCTTTTGAGTATACCTTCATGTACTTACCCTCATTTCGACTCTATTGCAGATTGAACGTCTTGTGTATCACCTATTTTGTTTCAAATTACATTTGAGTACATTACAAGCTTTTGTCTAAAAAATGATAGGTACAACATGAAGCATTACGATTTATTTTGTTTATTTACTCGTATTTCCATACAATGAAGAACACTTTAGTAAATAATGTCAAACCTCCAGACGTAAATATGCTATTTCTCAGGCGTCAAAATGTTTCATGTAGAGGTTTTAGCATCAATTCATGAACCTGAAACCAAAAAAATCTAGTAACATGTTGCCATGGTGTATAAAAAACATACACCATACATGCTACACCCTTTCTTGAGATAATGAAAGACACTGGTAACGCTTCTATAAATGAGCCAAAATGGCATACCTACATACTCCTTTCCACAGCTTAAAATGTCGTTGGTTTAACGTAATTTGCAGGTGCAGAGAACAAATAATTATTTTGAATGAAACTACATGTTTAAGTAACCAATATTTCGACATTGGTTTATCTAGGTTTCTCTTTGATAATTTAAGAAAAATCAGTACTAGTAGTATGAGAAATCAGACCAGATTTGCGAGGATACTTTGACTTGATAATGGTTGATTTAACAACCATTTTTTATTGAACTCCAATTGGTAAATCAATGGTGAGAATGCTATTTATTTCCCGTGTCTCAGAATTTCTGTGTGTATCCTACTGCCACCATATTCGACCAATCAGCCCCCTTTTACTATTACCGTTTTCCCCAAAGAGGGTGATTTTTTTGGGATACTATGTGATCAAAATGAGTTGCCGTCGAGTCACCTTTAGAATTTTTGTTTAGATTTGAACTTCTAAAGGCGACTCGAGCGCAGCTCATTTTTGACCGCCGGTTACATTCCATCGCGAGTTAGGAATATGAAGTATATTTTACCATGATGTAACCATATTTGCTTCTCAAACCTACGCTTGTGCATTAATCGGAATCGGTTACCTGTACATGCGCCGGAGTAGACAAGACATACATCACTGCATCTGCAACATCCGAAGGTTGCAAAGCAGCATCGCATCTAATGGCGTTTTCCATTTCAGTAGTTCGTTCGGGATTTCCGCTACCAACGGCTGCAGCTGCGCCAATGTTGGTTTCGACGAATCCTGGGCTGACACTCTGCAATAAACGACAAACGAGTAGCTATTTAAGGCGAAAAGTTGAGGGTCAACCTACGCTAATCTTTATTCTACTTCGCAAGGAATTCAATTCTTGTCGCAAAGTTTCGGTTAAAGCCGTCACCGCATGTTTTGTGGCTGGATATAAATTCATGAGGGGATGATACACGACTTTGTGCCCAGAGATACTGTTTATGTGAACTATATGGCCATCTACATTATGGGCACGCATCTGCTTCACAGCTTCCCTGGTAGCAATACACAACCCAAGCACGTTGGTGTCGATCATATTTTGCCATAGTGCTGTTTGACCTTCTATCAGATTCGTCATTCTCAATATACCGGCGTTATTTATTAATATGTGAACAATGCCAACATTATCTTTTATCCAGTTAAAAGCGTCGATTATATCTGTTTCGTTAGTAACATCGGCACGCACACCATATAGTTTCCCAGGTGCATTTCGTAACTCATTACTTAATTCATCCACCTTTTCTTTGCGGCGCGCCAATCCAACCACCTAAAAATGCATTTCAGGTGCACTTAATTAAAAATTTGGGATGTGTTACCAATAGACCTTTTTCTACTAAAGACTTAGTTATCGCATGTCCGATTCCTGAACTTGCACCCGTTACAACGGCTACCTTTCCTTTCCAACGGTCCATGTGACGAAAACACACGGTTAATGTTATTTGTATGATTATTAATAGATCTGTGAGTTCACGTCTTAACAACGAATCGCCAGCTGATTAGATTATGCAATGTACCTATAAATAAGAGTCCGCACACTACACACTCCCTAACTGGACTGGAATTAGTAGAATTTTGACAAACGAGGTGAGGCGCGTTGTTTCCAGTTGGTTAGGTGGGGGAACACACAAATGCAGCTCGTATAGTCGTGTGGTGTGATAGTTGATAAGAGGTTTAGCGGCACAATTACGTGAAAAACACTTCGGAATGAAGTTCATATCATCAGTAACCAGTTTCAGCTTAAATGCGAACTGATTTGCTATCGACATCCCTTCTATGCAACGTGCAGAAAGTGCGTGGTTATGCACAAGTTCGAGGATCGCTTGCTTCAATCGTTGACGCTTGATAGATGCAAGGGTGAAGATAAGTTCTATTTGATTTATGAAAGATTGTCTTGATGTTTTACGAAAATGAACATGTTTTCACAATTTTACAAAGTTAGCTGTTACTCGATTTGTACTAACGACATAGGAATTACTTCAACGAGGAGAGCTTGAACTTTCGGATAAATTTAGGAAAATGTATGCGATATACATTGACTCGTAGGTTTTAGTGGTAATGGAACATGTAAAAATCTTTCAATACTTCAACTATAGGTTGAAGGAGAACTTGAAGGGCACCATTAAGAGCTTAATTATTACTTTACACCTACGAGTAAAAAATAAGAGGAGAGAATATAACGGTGGTGGGAAATAGCATAACACGCGACGGAAGTCGTTAAAATATCACTTCCTTTGCGCTGGTCAGTTATGTCGACTTGACTTATCATAAAACAGAAGGGACGATGTCAGCCAATAATGACGCGTTTCTCCTCACTCTTCTCGCAATTTTATAACTGCCTTTTTGTTCATTTCCGTCAAGTCCCCTTTTAATGCAAGGTTCTCTCATTTTATTTTTTACTTGTAGCTTTACACCAACAAATGTTGTATTTATAAGAAATAGAGATATAATTGCTGTGTAATTCACCTGGCTGCCAGTATGACCAACACAAAAGTACAAAATATTAAAATGTCACGTAGAATTTCAGGGTTACTGATTACCAAAATAAATGAGCCAGCCCATAATTCGTCACGGAAAATGACTTCAAAAGCCCACAGAGACTAGATTTTAAATTAAAATTTAATTTATTATTACAGTCATACAGTCAACCATTCGACTTACACAAATTAAAAATAAACTTAAAATTTGTTTGGTTCATAGGTAAACGCTTTCCCAACGCTCCATAAATGAAATCTATGTGGGTCGCCTACAGTGGCGGTCCCAGGATTTGGTAAAGGGAGGGGCCCAAACCCGAACTTTGTCCCAACACGGAAAAAAATAAAAGAAATCTCGCATAATAATAATAATAATAAATAAAGTAACGCAACATGCACTACAAAGACAGGTCCACCCAATAAAGTTACACGTCCTAGCACGGTTAAAAAACGCAATACTCCTTCTCAGAAACAACCCACTCGTATACAACCGAAGCGCAAAAACCTTAACAGCACCACAGGCTCACAAAATACTGCAATATCTCCACCAAAAACCCAAGCAACCACACAAATACAACCTCAAGAACAAAGAAACACCATAAATACAAGTAACGCAACATGCACTACAAAGACAGGTCCACCCAATAAAGTTACACGTCCTAGCACAGTTAAAAAACACAAAACTCCTTCTTCACATAAACACACCACGTTATCACAACCCACTCGTATTCAACCCAAACGCAAAGCCAAAGAAACACTTACACAATAAACTCTATGTAATAAAATTACAGGAATTATTATAATGATATTTTTGTTTTGTTTTCTTCTTTCCTGATAGCGTTGACTATTGTGGCCATTAATAGCTATGTTGGTAAGTATGAATTACATACTATCCCTAGATTTCCAATGTGAGTGTGTGAATATTTATTTTATTTTTATTTTTATTTTTCTTTAGAACCCTACATAAATTCACCAGACACAGACACGGACACTAATCGTTACTTGATTTTAATCCGTGCGATTAGTTAACCAGGCTAGACCTGAGTTCTCACAAGAAACACCGACCATAATAATAAATTAAATAATATAAAATATTATAAAATTCCTGAGAGATACAAACCTATACAAAGAAATATAGTGTGAAATGTACTAAATATTAGTAAACATTATAAAATAATACTTACAAACTTAGTGGTGGTGAGCCAATTACCTGCGTTGTAGACGCCGCCTCCGCTCGGTTAATAGAAAACCTAAAAAATAATAATAATAATAATCTTTATTGTCCAAAGATGTGTAATAACGAAACCCTAGAATAGGACAAAATTAGAAGTGAGCGAGTAAAAATTAATGAAGTAACTAAATCGTAAAAAAAAATAATAACTAAGTAATACAATTAAGAATGATAGGTAAAGGAGTGTGAAAAATATCTACATGACTTGAAATATCATTGTAGTGATAAGATACGTATTCCGAGGAAAGGACTTTGCCCTTTGGGTCGCGATTGTAGCTATAATTTCGGACGTACTCGTACAATTAGCAATGGTTACAGTTTATTTATAGAAACAGATTTCGTACATCGGCAGTCGTCGTCCTTATAAGGGGTTGGTTAGTGCAGAGGGACGATACGAACTGGATTAGGTGCCATTAAGGCTGGACAGTACATACAGAACGGAGTATGTAAAGCTGCCTATTGTCAATCCCCAAATTTGGTATAATATTAATTTGTGTTCGATAGTAGAAACATAAAACTTAGTCCAATTATACCTGATGCAAATTTCCTATCTGTATAAAACAAGTCGCGCGGCGGAATCTATATTTTCGCTCTCTCGAGGTAAACTTTTAGTCATTTTTCCAAGATAACTTATCTATAAATGAAGTTAGAACAATTTCCAAAATTGCTATAAGCTCGTAAGGTTAATATCTAGGCAACAACGTCAGGAAAATTTGTTTCCTTTTTTCTTTTACAAAATATGGCACCCTAACCTCGACCCTAACAGCCCTCGACGTTACCCCTAAAAAAAAGATTATTTGAAAACATTTTAAGAAATCCCGGCGTTATTGTCTAACTAAAGCATTTACCTTTCATAGGAATATTCGACCCCTTCTGTATCTTCACTCAGAATTCATATATCGTGGAACGAAATCAAGCATTTTCGGGCAACGAAACGGGTGTACTGTCCAGCCCTTCCTTTGGAAGGCATCGGACGGAATGGTTGTGAGATTATCCACGGTTAAACGAAAATAATTAAGAAACAAAAAGAGATTACTGGTAACAATGAAGCCATATTGTAATTGAGTAAAGTGAATATTGCAATGTTGGTCAAAATAAACAAATGCATACATTATCGTTGAGTGTGATTTAACGTAGAAATACCTACGCGGCTTTAAGTCCATTATGAAACACTAACGATCTCCAAACAAAATAGGGCGGCGTGCTGCAAAGTGTAAGGTGGTGTATTGAAACCTTTATAGAAATTAGGAAAAAGATAAAGAAGACCAATTTTAAAATATGAAATTCAAGCCCATCAAATATACAAAGGATTTTTTTTGAAAGAAACAGAAAAAGCATACGAAGAGTTGTGGCGCTTTGGCACAATTTGACTGTACATTTGCGTAATATGTAGATTGTTAGGCTCGCGAGAACAGTACAAAACAAAGGGCTGTTTATTAAGCAAAAACAGAATTTCCTCATAACAGATGGTGAAAGGAAGGAAAAGTATTAGTGTAGGTACAGTAGTTCTCTGCTGATGCAGATCCCTAGTGACTCTTCTTCACGACTCTCTATCCTCTGCTCTTTTCTTTACTCCTTCATATCATTCTTCTCTCCTCTTCAGGTCGTCAAGCAATTCCCTTCTTCGTCTCCTCTTCCTTTCTCTCTGAACAGTAACAGTTCCCTCGACTACTTCCTTCTCCAAATAGATGCTTCTTAATACATGTCCTATCCAGTATCATATCGTTTTAAGCCAAACGAGCGTTTTTATTTTTTCTGCATTCATTACTACTTTTTATTGCACCAGGTATTAAATAAGCGATATACTGGTGTTTGCCTCATTTTGCCCATACTTCATTACAGTTAGAAATATGGGTCATAATTAAGTACAATTCATAATTTCGACGTTAAATTTAATTAAGTCAGTTGTCGAACCATGCTCCCATTGGCGGCAATTTTTACCATTTCGAGGCAATTAAACCACTAAGTTTCGCGATTTATAAACAAAAGCGATATTAACTTTCGTATAAAATTATTCATTATCCATGAGAAGATAAGTATTACCTTTGCAGTATTCCTATAATGGGTTCAAAGTGAATATAATTACCGATGTCTGATTACATTTCACATTTCACTTCTACGATTCAATTTCATCCATTGAATACATGTTTAGTAACTCTTGTTGAACCACCAAATTGCACTCTTTTACTAAGTAAGTTGCTCGTGTAAGTTGCACATTTTCAAGGGTTTACTTGACTACCTACCCCAACGCTTTCTTTACAAGTTCAAAGAATATCCATACCTTTCGAGCTCATTAAGCGATTGGGAACACTCTACATAAGTTTTTATTTATGTTAATGTTTCTGTTGCACAGCCAAGTAATGTGTAGTTAGTAACGGCCTACAATTATTACTATAATTTAAGGCATAGGTATAGCCCCAAACAACTACTGCCCAAGCGTGTGCTTCACCTCGAACTCTTTCGACAGAAGTTCACCAGTTTCTGAGATCTCGGAAAACACATTAGGATGCAGTTACCAATTTACAGCGTTCGGCATTTTAAAGTAAAATAAAAATATTATTAATTTTTGTAAATGAAATGAAAATATCTAGGGTGTTTTTTTAAAGATGGGGCATAGAAAGTACACACCTAACATAACGCAATGTAAAGGCGTTGGGTTATTTAAAATGGGCCACAGGGAAATTTACATTGCGCAAATTGTTCTCAATTCCTTGCGCACTGACAGTTCTCGACCTCAATCCTTCAAACTGCATCAACGGAGCCTTTAAATTGTCGTATGGCCCATCTTAAAAAAACACCCTGTATGTACAATTGTAAGCTGCCTAAGTATCTTTCTTCGGTATTAAAA